AGAAGCAACAACTTTTAAATCTGTGTTGTAGCGTAGCTTTCGAAGTGGTAGAACTGCATAACTTCAGTTCTCTTTTGGACAATCTGAATCCATTTTCTGTAAACAATTAATTAACTTTATTGAGACATTGTTGGTGTTGGCGGTCTATTGTACGGATATTTTCGATCTATCCAATCAAGTAATCATCGACTGTGATCGATGATATTGTATATGATCTCGGCATGAGGTTGACCATAGAGAATTATGAAATCAGTGGACTTTCAAAGTATTTTCTTCACGGTGTATTCTTTTAATTCAAAAGTAGCATAATATGGCATACGAACTGATAGAGAAAAAAGAAGATCTATTCGGTGTACGGTAATTTCAAATCCAGCAAACGTTAACAGCTTCAATACAGAAAAAAAAATTCTGTCCGTCACATTTGATATGGATATTTATTAACTTAAGATTCCAATGCACTTTTCGCAAACGGATTTCTCTCCCATTCCGACCTGATGACGTTTCACATGTTCCGGACTTTAGTAGAGACAGTATTTTGCAACATGGCGTTCTCCTGACTAGAAAACAATTACAGTAATTTTGTAAAAAAATCCATTAGTTTTCCTTTCCAAATTAGAGAAAGCATGTAACACACTATTTACATTATTCGGACTATTGTACTCATGGTGTACATAATACCTCATCTCAGAAATATAGACAGATACTGAAGGGCCGAAACGTTGTAATAAATATGGCGACAAAGATGAGAACAATAGTCTGAATAATGTAAATAGTGTACATAATACCTCATCTCAGAAATATAGACAGATACTGAAATGCCGAAACGTTGTAATAAATATGGCGACAAAGATGAGAACAATAGTCCGAATAATGTAAATAGTGTACATAATACCTCATCTCAGAAATATAGACAGATACTGAAAGGCCGAAACGTTGTAATAAATATGGCGACAAAGATGACGACAATAGTCCGAATAATGTAAATAGTGTACATAATACCTCATTTCAGACACATAGAGCATGTAACACATTTCTATTTTTAGATAGTATTTTCTCTTGCTCGAAAATAAAAAACTTCATTTACGTTCTTCCTACTTGTCTCTAGCCGTCTTTGTCTTTGTTATAAACTTTTGGGTAATTAACTGCTTTCTACAGCCCAATATTACCATGGTCATCCAAAATATGTTCGGTAGACCAATACTCTGCTAGAATGAAAGTGTAGCGTTACACCTTGGACCAGCATCTGGCTAAGTTTTTGATAACACTTCAAAAAAGTCATCCCATTGACTAAAGATCACGAACGACGAAAACAACTGACGGGAGCATTCTGGTTTACTCAAGTGCTTCAACATTGAGACGTGGTGGTTGCTACGAGATTTTAAAGATGGGGAAAGTTAAGAGTGTCAAGTAGGGTTCCTTCTTCGTAGCGCTCACTGGGTTGGACTCGGCTAGCTGGTAAAGTGGTTCGTCTGCTAGGTTGATTAAGAAAAAAAACATTAGTCACTGCTTCCAGCCCACACTCGTCTCTCCTCACTGGAGTGGAGTGGACAAAGCTGGCAAAATAGTTCCTCTTTTTGTGGACATTAAACTCTTCCATCCTCCCAGCTTGATTAGGAAAAGTCATAAATCACAGCTCCCAGCCCACACTCGTCTCTCCTCATAGCGATCACTGGTGTGGAGTGGACAAAGCTGGCAAAACAGTTCCTCTTTTTGTTGACATTAAATTTTTCCATCCTGCCAGCTTGATTAGGAAAAGTCATAAATCACAGCTCCCAGCCCACACTCGTCTCTCCTCATAGCGATCACTGGTGGTGTGACAAAGTGGCAAAATAGTTCCTCTTTTGTTGACAAAACATTCCTCTTTTTGTTAAATCATAGCTAAATTTTAGCGATCCTGGTGTGGAGTGGATCCTGCCAAAACAGCTTTTTGTTGACATTAAATTTTTTGATTAGGAAAAGTCATAAATCATAGCTCCCAGCCCACTCTCGTCCCCGATAAAAAAAAAAAAACATAAAGTCGGGACCGAGTGTCACCCTCATGTGTTTTGAGCTGTTATGTCCAATTAATGGTTCTCCTCCCACTGCCAGCTCGATTAATGAGCATCATCGTATATCGCTACATAGCTCTATGGTTAGATTTGAGTCCCTGTGTTGTAATCTGTAAGGCAGCTACCTCGGATAGGCAGGTTTCCAGAGGAAAAGGGATACAAAATTCAATGCCATTGGAGGTTCATTCCTTATTTCAGCTTCATGCTGACCACTGACGACTGTAGAATAACGTTGTGCACGTCATGGCGAATGTTAAATGTCGGTATGGGGAGATGTTGGCAAACAACTGTCTTGTTGATCTTTTGTCAGTTTCAGAAAAGCAGTTGAAGATCAAATCAAAGACGCAAAGTAGTAAAAGAAACGCCGGTGGAAGAGACTGTTAAGGTGGGTCATAGAAGAAAAATGACGAGTAAGCCGCGTCAATGCGATGTCTGTAATCTTCAATCTGTTCAAAAAGAGAATCAGAAATCTAATCGGCAGAAACAAGCGTTCCTCGAACGAATGAATGATCAAATGAAGGAAGAATGCAGACGAGATTCATATAGAGACGCGGGAAACAGCCGCGATTTTAATACTGATAGCGTTGCTGGTATAATGGTATCTGTGGGCGTCTTGCTAGTGCTTGTAAGAACGTCGGAGGGGAAATAGAAACTGTCTGGCTCGTGAGATAGGAAGCAGATGGTGGTTGGATACATTGTTTTGTGATTCAAGCTGTCGTTTCGTTTCACATTCAGTTACTTTAGCGATGAGGTGATTTGTTTGCGTCCTCTCCGCTTTCGACAAGTCGATAAAGGAGCCGCATAATGTAATTATTATAAAATATTTGACCTTGTAGCTTCAAATGTTGATACACAGTTATATATTATCTTATTTCTTTCTTTCTTTTTTTTTGTTTGTTTCTTCCTCTCTTTTTTTTTTGTTTTCCGCTTTTTTACACTTTTTTTAGAATTTTCTTTCTTTTCCTTTCTTTTTTTTTTTTTTTTTTCGATCTTTCGTTTCGTTTTTCTTTCAACTTTTGTATTTTATTCATTCCTTGAATTTCATGCCACGGACTGAACATGTGAACAACGACGAAGTTTTAGAGAAAATGGAAACAAAAAGGATACTTATACATAAAAACAGAAAGAGATACTTGAAATTTCTAGAGCACATAATGAGGAAAGAAGGGTTGGAAAATTTGATACTCAAAGGCTAGATTGAAGGCAAGTGAGTCAGAGTAAAACAATGCATAACTTACCTAGCAAGCTTGAGTAAATGGATGGCGGTACAAGGTTTAAAGGAAATTACAAATTAAGACCTACAAAAGATATGGAATCGAGGAGGACCATAATTGCCAACGTCCTGAACGGACACGGTACAGATAATTTTGCAATTCGGAATAGATGTTTATTTTTTATTTTTAACTTTTAAATCAGTTTTACCTTTAGCTGTGTAAGCAACGATAAAGTTTTAGAGAAAATTTAAAAAATAATGTCACTTATACTTAACATCAGAAAGAGACGGTTGAACTTTTTAGGGTATATAATAAGGAAAGAAGGCTTGGAGATTTTGATACTCACAGATTGAAGACAAGAAGGATAGAGGAAAACAACGCATAACCTACCTAGAGAGTTTGAGTATTAAGAGCCACAAATGACAAGAAATTGTAGAGAGCCATTCAGAGAGTGATTTCATTCTTTTTCTGTTTTTAATTATTTTGTCTTTCTTTCTGTTGTAACCCATGAACGATAATACTTAGGACAAGAACAACACATATAAGATTCGCCAGCAACGCCTAGAAGTAGCAGTCAAGTGAATTCCACAATGGATCTTCAACTGCAGGATATCTACCAACCGCCTCACGCGGTCAGATATGGCACAAGGCCGAATTTAATGTGTGGTATCCGAACCCGTAGGCTCGGTCAAAAATTCCCCGTAGACCTCGTATAAAACGGGGTCGGGTAGCTGTTTCTCGCGGCGAGACTCTGCATAGCCTCGTCTGGGATATTCTCTCTCCGGAGAAAGAGAGTTGTCCAGCACAGCTGGAGACGAATCTCCAACTGCAAGATATCTACCAATCTGCCTACGCGGTCAGATGTGGCACAAGGCCGGATTTAATGTGGGTATCCGAGCCCGTAGGCTCGGTCAAAAATTCCCCGTAGACGCTGTATAAAATGGAGTCAGGTAGCTGTTTCCCGAGATGAGACTCTGCGCTTCGACATAGCCTCGTCTGGGGATCCTCTCTGCCTGGAGGTAGAGAGCTTGATCAGCACAGCTGGAGATGAATCTCCAACTGCAGACCAACATACAGTATTTACTATTGTATTTATGCGAATGGGGACAAACCCATTATCGTCCGTAGGTATGCTACAACACTTTCATTTATGCTTCAATTATGATTTTTTTCTACTTGTTCTCTCTTTTAAGCATCATAACTGTGATATATTTATGAAACTGTAAACAATGTATGAAAGAGAAGTAAGAAGAAAGGACTAACTATCAATTGTAAGAATTAATAAAATGTATTGTCGTTAGCAAGAGGAACACTCAAGATGCGAAATATAATTTGGAGATACCTACATGAAGCAAGTACGAAAGTTTAAATATCTATGAAATATTCAAGCAGATGCCGGAAAATGTGACACAGAAATCCGAAGACGCATTATGAAATAAAAATGGTCTCATGGGGAAAATCAACCTTTTCGAGACACTTTTTTACAGACACAAAGGTCCATGTTTGCCTTTTTCTTTTATCCAGATGAAACATGACAACTGCATTTTAATGAAACATTGTAAATGGCAATTTTCATTGCTTTCTGATCATTGCTGTATATTTTGTCTTTCTTTTTATACATAGAATTATGTGCTGTTATTGATCTTCCTATTTCTGATATTGTGTTATTCTTGTATGTCAAATGTGTATTAAATTACTTACATTTTGCTTTAGTTTGGTTTATGACATTTCAACCTCAATGGGTTATTTAATACCAACAAGATTTTTTATTGCTGGTAATATTATCTATCTATCTATCTATCTATCTATCTATCTATCTATCACAGTCTGTTCATATCTATCTATCTATCTATCTATCTATCTATCTATCTCAGTTTATATATGTTTTGTTTTGGTTTGTTTTACGTCATTTCAACCTCGATGGGTTATTTAATTCCGACAAGATTTTTATTTCTGGTAATATTTTTTCCAAAAATGTATTGCTAGTAATATTCTTGCCAAAAATGTGTTGCTGGTAATAATTTTTTCCTTCAATGGGTCGCATTATCCACCCGGAATGTAACCATTTTAGTGGGTTCTCTGCAGGGAATGCATTCGGCTTATTCTAAACCCTCATGCCAAGGCATAAATGTGTTTCGTTTGGTTTGGTTTGTTTTACGGCATATCAACCTCAATGGGTTATTTAATGCCGTCAAGATTTTTATTGCTGGTAATATTTTTTTCCAAAAAGGAATTGTTGGTATTATAATGTATTTTTATACTTTCATAGTGTTTTGATCCCTTTTTTTTTGGGGGGGGGGCATGTGCAACCACCTTGGGTCATGTTGGACCTGAGAACACCAGCAATTAAGAGGTGGTTCCATGCTCTTCAAAACCTCCTGATCAGAGGCTTGCTGCTGGATGTAGTTTATCGTCTTACACAGGAGGATCATATTGTGGATTATTGGTCCACTTCATAAACGGACAGTAGATCATCCACTTCATATATCTGAATAAGTCCCTCGTGCTGTATAATTATTGCTGAGTAAGAGCAAGTTTTCCGCATACTGGAAGTGCTATAGATTTGGGGCACTCTTATTTGAACATAAATTTCTGATTTTTTTTAGCTGATGCCGAGTTGGGATATAATGACGTTTTTAATATTTTCCCTGGATTCTTATTTTCACTTTGCTAGGATATTGTGTTTTGTTGATACTCCAGTAATGTTACTTTAATTTTTGTTTGTTAAATGCTTTCCAGTCAACATTAATCTTCAAAACTTCAAATGCAATGTCAATCGCTATCTATTGTCTTTCTGATTGCTCTTCTATTGTTCTCGCTCCTTAGCAATTTTTCTGTTTTCTAATTCTTCCACACCCAGTAACCTCTTGTGTCTCAGTGGCTTTCCTGACTTGCTTGTGGTGAAGTCGATTAAAAAGAAAAAAAATAGCAAAAGATACCTTTCAAAAGCTAAGCAAAGTATTAAGAAACAGGAAAATTTTGTCGGAAACAAAGAAAAGTATGTTCAAGTGCTGTAATATCAGTCCTGCTAAATGGCAGTGAATTCTATGCAATTTCCTCACAGATAAGTAGGAGACTTGAGGCAACAGAGATGTGGTTCTACAGGAGGATACTGAGAATATCATGCATGTGATGAATGAAGTTTTAAGGAAAACGGAAATGAAATGAACTCTTATACTTAGTATCAGAAAATGTTGAGATTTATGGGACGCATTATGAGGAAAGAGGGCTTGGAAAATTAGACGCTTACTGGGCGTATTGAAGGCAAAAGGGACACAGGGAAACAGCGAGTAACTTACTTAACGAATTTGTCAATATACTTGATAAAACATGAATTAGGAAGGATGACAAAAATAAATATTGCCAAGAGTTACAAAGTAAAAGAAAATGTGGAGAGCCATGATCACACCCGTCCTGAGTGACACAACACATAGAAGAATAGAATAGAAAATATATTGTTTAAAACTTCCTATGAAGAATAGACTTGAAGCAACAGGAATGTGGTTCTACAGAAGGATGCTGAGGATACCATAGGCCGAACATGTGAGCAACGACGAACTTTTAAAGAAAATGGAAACAAAAAGGACACATACTTAACATCAGGGAAAACAACTGAAATTGCTAGGTCACACAATGAGGAAGGAAGGCTTGGAAAATTTGATACTCACAGGACAGATTGAAGGCATAAGGGAGTGAAGACAACAACACAGAGCCTACCTATCGAATTTGAGTAAATGGATGGCGGAGCTAGATTTAGGAGAGATAACAAAATAACAACATTTATTAAGAGTTACGAACGACAAGCAGATGTGGAGAGCCATGATCACCTACGTCCTGAAGGGACACAGTACATAAAGAAAATATTTATCAATATCAAATATTTAACAATCCTGCTAATGTCTTACCATCAGACTTCTCAAATCGCACACATCGCAACCTTCGATTGGTTGTCATCATTGGAGGAAAACTGTCTGAACAACAGGAAATAGTGGAGAGCCATGGTCGCCTACGTCTTGAAGGCATACGGCACATACGCAATCTATGTGTGACTAGAAACAATTACGCAATCGTGTTCCCAAAAATTAGAAAAAGGAACCATTTCATCCAACCGTATCCTATTGATGACCATCTCTGTACAACGCGTCGGCAGCCATCAGCATCTCTGCCGTGTATCGTACACCTGTCTTCCGAGATTCTCGAGTTGTTTCATGATCTAATCTCGGATAATCCTAATTTCCCGTAGCTGTCCATCAATCTGTATATACACCCTTGTGCAAATTAATTGAAACAAAATTAATAATTCCGTTATAATTTACTTTTTTCATATTTTTCCAATGAAACCTGACCCAGTGCACAGTATGTAGTATGTAGTAGTGTATGACCATTTCATGAAATCGTTCCTTGCAGAATGACCACAGATTCTCGATTGGATTTAAATCAGGAGAGTTTCTGCGCCAGTCGATAGTACTTTGATTTGCTCACTGGTAAGGCTTGCCATTATGTTCGTGCAGCGTTACAATTTTCGTACGCTTCCTCGGAGTTACATCCAACGCAGACAATGGATGTAGGACAACTAATCGACAGTCGAGACAATAGTGTCTGGGCTTGATAAAAATCATGGATGACGCAATATTTTTCAAGGCCAAACAAATTTCATCATACACCCCGAAAATAAATTCATATTACTGCACACCACTACAAATGACCTAATCTGAAGAAAAAATAGAAATCGATTGCACCCTGTCAGTCTTGTGGGTTTGAAACTGACCGTATGGTGAAAGAAAGGAAACTAAAGCGGTTGTTTCAATTAATTTGCACAAGGATGTAATTACGGCGACCTATTCCATTTACAAAACTGAAGGAATATAATAGATCTGAACAGTATTCTCTCATATAAGCGCGTATACAGTATTTGCTATCTGTCCTTTCGTTAAATGATTTTATCTATTTCTCTCCTCTTTCCGTCCATCTTTATTTCCCTTTGTTTTTCTTCCTTTGTTTTTCTTTACTTCAGTCTGTCTTTATCTTTAGTATTCTTTTTTTTTCTTTAATTTTCCTCTTTTTTTATTCGTTTTTCTGTTCATTTGATTCGATGCGTCACCATTTTGAAACAACGATGGCAAACTACTTCGGCTGTCGTCATTTTTTTTTTTTTTTTTTTTTTTTTTGGCATTTAATTATATCCAAGACGAGAAACATTGATTGTTTTCTATTTAAAGTTAATTTACAGCTCGACATGATGTATGACTTTCTGGTGTGAATTTTACCACTACGTGAATCTATATTTAGTAACTAGTTAGAATGAGAATTGCTGTGGTTGAAATAAAAGAAAGAGTCTAACATGCAAATTATAAATTGGAAATAAAATCAAACAAAAACAACAATTTAAATATCTTGAAAGCGTTTTAACAGAGGACGCAATGGGCGACATTAAAATCCCAATGTGTATTGGGATAACCAAAAATGTCTTCCAAAAGCTAAGTAAAAAAAAAAAAAAAAAAACAAGAAAACCTCGTCAGAAAGAAAAGCGTACTGAACTGTTACATAATATCAGTCCACCTATATCAAAATGAATACTGGACAATCTCCTCACAGATGAAGAAAAAAACATGAAGAAATGTGGTTCTACAGAAGGATGCTGCGAATACTATGGAACGAACATGTGAGCAAGGATGAAGTTTTAGAGAAAATGGAAAGAGACAATTGAAATTTAATAAGGAAAGAGGGTTTGGAAAATTTGGTACTCACAGGACATATTAAAAACAAGATAGACAAAGAAAAACAACGCATAAACTAACTAGATGTATGGTAGGACAAGTTTCTGTCCTTTGTAGCCCTTACTAAAGTTTTGTTTACTATATCTTCTTGTACAAGCTGGTTACGTAGATAATGCGCGATTTTCCTAGGTCCCACTTGATTTCAATATATCTTATGAGTGTCCTTGGCCATCCCAATACGTCTACGGATCTCAGTGTCGCATTTACCTTCCTCTGTCAGAAAGCTTTCCAGATATTTAAACTGCCAAGTCTACTAAATTCAATATTCTATCCGCATGCAGACGGTTTGCTCCCAGCATAAGTTCTGGATTATTTTAATATTCTTCCCGAATAATTCAAGCTTATCTAGCAGTTCAAATAGTTCTTCGTTATGCACCTTTTAAACGCTTCTGCACAATCTATAACTCATAGGTAGACATCCTTTTGCATTTGTATTACTCTTTCAGATATAAGCATTACTTGTTCCGGCGTCTTACTGTTTATAAAGATTTATCTATAAATTTAGGGTATTATAAGATAATTATTCGACATTAAAAGAATTGCGTGCATTTACAAAAGAACTTGATCAATAGTTGCCAGTTAAAAGGTTGTAGGTAACCGGAAGAGTGAGGGTGAGATAACAGCGTTGTAGGAGTCACAGTGAGCGAGCACGTAGACTCAGTAAGAAGTCTTACAGCGATACTTCAATACCAAAGACTATATATATATTTTGCTACTAACCCGTATTCCTGGAACTACTAACCTGCTTTACCAGTTTGTATTATTACGTTAATACATTATTTTCATATATTCATTCCTGGCGTTTGTTATTTATTGGTACCGGATTTCATCCCGGAATCCACAACAGTCACCATAATAGTTTCCTGGTTGTCGGCGGATGTTTCTCCATTATATGAGAATGCAGACGTTTTTATAAAAATTATAAGGTTTTTTATTCATATAAATCCATTGTCATTTACACAAACGTTCAACTAAATTGGGTATTTTATAAGGTATTCTAAAAAGCTAAATTACTTACATTTTGAGAAAATATTTTCTATTCCCGAATTTGCTTCATTGGTTGATTTTGTTTAGCGACATATCGACACCTTTATAGGTTATTTAATGCCGAAGTCTAAATATTTTGATTGGTTTGGTTTGGTTTGGTTGATTTTGTTTAGCGGCATATCAACCTCTATGGTTATTTAATGCCGAAATCTAAATATTTTGATTGGTTTGATTTGGTTAATTTTGTTTAGCGGCATATCAACCTCTATGGGTTATTTAATGCCGAAATCTAAATATTTTGATTGGTTTGCTTGATTTTGTTTAGCGGCATATCAATTATCGTCAGTAGGTATGCTACAACACCTCGACAAATAGGACAATTCCTCGTTTTGTATTCAATGATTTCTTTTTTTACGATCTTGAACTTATTAATACGCTGACCATACAAGGAGCGTTGCATACAGAGAAACAAATAAGATATTTCTTGTGGAAAGATCTGAACGTGATAAATCCATTGACGACTGGTATGAAGACGACATGTCTGACAGTGAAATGTTTGAAGAATCCAGAAACAACAAGCAACGCAACAAATGATCGAATTAAATCGATTTGCTTCTGATTTTCATAATGTATTCATTTTCTTTATCGCTGGCTAATATCTTGTCGAATAATGACGTGTTTCTGCAACAGTCAAGAAGTAAAGGTTATCTTGGGTCTACAAGTAGTTGCCTTTCGAACATCACGATAAGTTGACAAGGCCTACAATGAAGTCTTGTGGGTCGAAATAGCTATTCGAATGAGGTAACTTTGAATTTTTATTCTCTCTCTCTCTCTCTCTTTCTATCTATCTATATATATGTGTGTGTGTGTGTGTGTGTGTGTGTGTGTGTGTGTGTGTTCATTGAATAATATAGACATATTGTGTCTATTTTGATACTGATCCTTTCCAGTTCTCGAATCATTTTCTTGATGTTATGATGAAATTCATCAAGGAAGCCAATTTTCTAATCCAAGTACTTTCGATCTTTTCCAAGATTTTCTTCAGACAACAAAGACAAACATATTGTAATGGCGATCAAATCTGCATTCTGTTGAAACGGTGATTTATAAAACACGCACCAACGCGCTCTGTAATTATTTAAAAATTTTAAATTTATCCGTTGTAGTTATGGCATTTTTTACAAAACAAGCGTTTCAGTATAAGGGAGTTAATCGGAAATTTGAAATGTAAATGGCATTAAATGTTTGTTATATGCACTTCAATACGTTGCTGCTACACTCGTAATAAATTTTGTAAAGTGTTCGTTGGTTGCTTTTGAAATGTCTACTTCTTTTGTGTTATTCGCTAAAATAAAAATATCATCTACATAGTGGACATATATTTTATGTTTATAGACCTGTTTAAATGTCATGTTTTTTACAAGGGAAATGCAATAATTGGAGAAGCACGGGCCAAGCGAATTTCCCATGCTAACACCATTAGTTTGGGTGTAAATGTTGATATTATGGTCATAGAATGAGACTTTGGTTGCGCATGCGTGTAGTAATTTTTTTATGATAAATGCTTTGATGGATGGGGGTGGGATAAAATTATTAGTGTACACGGAATTAAGGATAATGTCAATGGTTTGACTGACAGGGACGTTTGTAATTAAATTTTCAATGTTAAGTGACGCTACGATAGCGTGGGTTGGTTTTGTACTTTTTAAAATTTGGAGGAATTTGTGGGCGGATATGATGCTGTAATTGGTGGGTAGGTACAGGATAATGATGTCATTAAGGAATTTTGATAGCTCATAGGGGTTGGGATCTGAGAAATGATTGGTTCTAGCGAGTGTCCCCGTTTGTGTGTTTGTATATTTTATATAAGTATCCTCATCCACATGTAGATTTAAAATAATGGAAGCCTTAATAATACAAATGAAAAATCCAACGCTCAATAATATTAACTACAAACACCGCCACAATTTGCTGTGTTCAGAAAATAAAGCATCCTTATAATTCTAGAAAAAAAAGTAAAAAAAAATAACATCATCCTTGAAAATGGCTAAATGTATAGGCGAAAGCGCTCGGAATTATAGAACATTTGGACCGTTTCTACACACTTTGTGCCTAGAAAAGAAAACACTTGTTCGAACACAAGAAAAATAAAAAGCTTAATCGCAGTACCTTGCCTGTATTGAAACACACACACACACACATATATATATATATATATATGTGTGTGTGTGTGTTATAGAGGAATAAAGTGTCGCTGCCGACACTTGTGTTTGAACATAGATCGCCAGTGAGCAAACACTGGCGATCCCATTATTGAAATTAAGTATTCCACGTGACCGTAGACAAAACGAATATATGGAAGGTAGCGTGACAACTAATTGATCGCTATTTCTAGTCTATCCTCTATACTATACGGTCCACTATTCTCTACTCTATTCACTATACTATTTCTCTGTTCGGATCACTATACGGATTACTATTCGAGCGAGTATTATCGAGCAAGTACTATTAGTTCGAGTGATATTAGAAGACCTCTGACACCAGTATTGTTCAACGGCGTTACTATAGTTGTATCTACGATTACAAAGTCTCTACTACAACAAGCATTACGAAAGTGACAACGAATCATTGATATCACACATATATATATATATATATATATATATATATATATATATATATATATATATATATAATGAACGTATATATGTATATAACATGCATCTAAACTTTCGTTTCCTTGTTTCAATAAAGCTACCAACAGCTTTTTTTCCTTCTTCTCATATCGATAGATTTTGGTGTTGCCATTTATTTAATAAATGAGTTCGTCTGTATTGATTGATCGATCTGTGAGTGCAGGAGCAATCAATCGATGCGAATTTATTCGTCTCTGTTAGTTTTGTTTATCTCTACACACACAGACACACCCACACATATATAATAAATGTTAAATAAAACGCCCAAAGACATATCTCCCGACACAATATTTTTTAAACGTAAATCTGCACTTCAGACTCAAAATAAATCAATTGAACTTAGCACATATCATATCTATTTTTAAATACGTTACAACAAAAACATGACGTAAACTAAGTATCGAAAATACAAATAATGAATTAAATATTACATTTAAATATTTAAAATGGCTCTGTCATATAAATGAAGTTGACACGTCTTATAAAGTTGACATGAAAAATGAACTTTTTTTTAAGTAACGTATCTTAAAATATGACGTATTTTAAAATATATTAAATATCTTGCCCCTGAAGAGCGGAGATTCTTCGAAACCTTCTGTCAGGTTATAAGTCATTAAATTGTTTATTTATTTATCATTAATGCTCTATTTCTTAATATTGAACACTCCATTTACAAAATATGCTCGCTGTAAATGCGTTATCCTTCAGTAATTGATCGAATGACGGTTTTGTCATTATACAAACATATATATATATATATATATATATATATATTATAAATACTTAGGTTGTGTGTGTGTGTGTGTGTGTGTGTGTGTGTGTGTGCGCGTTTATATATTGGATCGGATTTCTTACATTTTTCACCTGATTTCAACAAAACTTCACAGGACTACATAAAATTACCTTGCGGTGGTTCTGACAGCGCCAAAAATTGGAAAAACACAATTGATTTTGCACGAAATCAATTTGAAAACGATTAAGAGACATCGCTTTTACGGAATGAAAAGGGGACAACTCATATCAAGTGATACTTATTATAAAACCCAGGTTGTGTGTGTGTGTGTGTGTGTGTGTGTGTGTGTGTGTGTGTGTACGTTTATATATTGGATCGGATTTCCTACATTTTTCAACCAATTTCAACAAAACTTCACTTTTTTTTGGCAGGTAGTGTTTCTTATTGTCTTGCACATTTTTTTCTTTATTTTTACATTCAGAATGCTTTAAAAATTCCATTTACAAGACAATTGATTATAATAAAATTCTATTCATCAATCGATAGACTCATAACGATTGTAAACAATGTTTTTGTTTGAGTTTGGGTTTGACCAATTCGTAAAAAAAAAAAAAAAAAAAAACTAATTAAGACATGCGTGTACGTCAACCTTAAACTATAATCTTTGTCAATTTTATTTTTCAGTCTTTATGATGGTCGATACTTGATCTATCTCTTACTGTTACATCCCCGGGCAACGCCGGGCTCTACTGCTAGTATATATATAAAAGTGAACATTGAAGTCAACACTCAGAGGCGACACTCTGTTTCATGCTAGGCGCAATCGACAGGCGGCCTGACAATTGCGTCTAACATGAAACAGCCTATCGCCTCTTAGTGTTGACTTCAATGTTTACTTTTATATTTATATTTACATACGCTCTATCTCTGATATTGATCACTTTATCCCATAAATATAACACATCTTCATATATATATATATATATATATATATATATATATAAGTACTGTTTATAATAATTACTGGTAAATGTAATTAATACTGTTTAATTAAATACCGAGCATTTACTCAAATAAATTGTATCTATAAAAAAAATAACGTATAAACAGAAAATACATTAAATTAATTGTCGGAATTAATCCATTTCAAAATATGTTGTCATTGTTTACGTTAAGATACGTTTCGTGAGCAGAGATATTATCGATCGAGAAAAATCGTCGAAAATTGTGTGTTTATAAACAGTAATTCAGACTTTGCAAAACTGACGCTTCTCTGTAGCTGAATAGTACAGAACGTCAGGCCAAATAACGATTTACGTATAGGAATACAGGTTGAATTCCTGTCGCAGAACGCATATTTTATAAAAAATTTCTAGATCATTTAGGCCGGTAAATGTAATTAATACTGTTTAATTAAAAACCGAGCATTTACTTAAATAAATTGTATCTAGAAAAAATAACGCATAAACAGGAAATATATATATTGTCGAACATTCCATTTTATTATACACATACACACACAGACACACATATATATAGTTGGGGGAAACAAATATTCGTACACATAATTTTTTTAATTTATTATATTTCCAACTAATGAATTCAAATTTTTCAACCGAAATATTTGTTTGTGTCATATATATATATATATATATATATATATATATATATATATATATATATATATATATATATATATATATATAAGGATTGGTGTATACGGAATAAATTCCAATTACCAAAAATATTCTTCTTAAAAGAGTGCTCAATACAGAATAGAGCAAATACAATTTATTCGAAAATTATAACATAAATATGTTATAAAATGACAACAAAAATAGCCATTTTGTTTCAACGCTTCTGGGGTCTTATCAAGTGATGATGTTGAATGCCTTAACACTTGATAAGACACCATAAGTGTTGAAATAAAATGGCTACTTTTGTAGGATTTAATAACATATTTATGTCATAATTTTAGAATAAATATATATATATATATATATATATATATATATATATATATATATATATATATATATATATATATATAAGAGGAGCATAGTAGACAGAGTATTTAGTATTCTGAGAAATTGAAATGAATTATTCACTCCTCTTGATCGTAAATCCATTTTTTTTCTTTTTTGAGAATGAGGTTTTATTAAATGTTGAAATATATAAGTATATTTGAATTTGCATTATTTCATAATGGCACAGTGGAGAAAGGCGTTAGTTAGAGCCTGTAACAGGACCCAAAGAGTGTGAGTTCAATACCTGGTTAAGGCGGTGGCGAACATAGAGAGTGGAATTAACAGGAGATAACTGACATCCATTAGACATGGCTCGTGGAACTAGAACAGTCTACCCCAGTGAGCAAAATAAAGGGTTCAGTTCTACATTCCAAGAAGGCCGGAGCGTACAACGGCCGAAACGTTGTAATAAATATGGCGACAAAGATGACGACAATGGTCCGAATAATGTAAATAGTGTACATAATACCTCATCTCAGAAATATAGACAGATACTGAAAGGCCGAAACGTTGTAATAAATATGGCGACAAAGATGACGATAATAGTCCGAATAATGTAAATAGTGTACATAATACCTCATCTCAGAAATATAGACAGATATTGAAAGGCCGAAACGTTGTAATAAATATGGCGACAAAGATGACGACAATAGTCCGAATAATGTAAATAGGGTACATAATACCTCATCTCAGAAATATAGACAGATACTGAAAGGCCGAAACGTTGTAATAAATATGGCAACAAAGATGACGATAATAGTCCGAATAATGTAAATAGTGTACATAATACCTCATCTCAGAAATATAGACAGATATTGAAAGGCCGAAACGTTGTAATAAATATGGCGACAAAGATGACGACAATAGTCCGAATAATGTAAATAGGGTACATAATACCTCATCTCAGAAATATAGGCAGGTATTTGAATTTGTTGATCGCTCCCTTTTTATGATTATGTTTCTATAGTTGGTGACCCCCTTTGCGTTCCTAAAGCTGCATTTATTTCCTTTACTGTACACAGGGACAACCTCACCATTTCTTATAACAGTAACACCGTTTCTGGTGTTAAATCTTTCGTCTGGGTCAGCTTTTGCATTTTCAATTGTGGAAAGATTTCATTTTTCAGGGTGTTATCTGCGTGCTATTTTTATTGGTAGCCTTTACATGTACATTGTTACTTCGCATTTTTTTCCTTGTTCGAGGATTTGTCCTGCTGGTAATTATTTTGTTCTTACAAGAATGTGGACAGATTAGCTAGAGTGGTTTTCCTCAAGAGATTCCTTGATGAATCTAGGGAATTCATTTCTGACTTCTATTCCTGAATTAAAGAAATTCCATTTGGCATATGACTTATTTCATTTTTTTTTAATTAGTCCTCTGCTCTACCACCCAACATGGAGTCCAATTTCAACTTGCAATTAGCCAAGGGAGATAAACGCATTCGCCCTGGTTGAGACGGGGTTACATCGATTAGTATCCTCGCGTCTTGAAAGGACTTTGAGTCCGTGCTAAATTTGTTCTTCAGTACCTTCAAGAATTTTTTTTAATCAATTCACCCCAAGCAAGGCAATAATGCCACTAAGATGCAAGGAGAACTGGGATTGAAATAGAATAAAAAAAATAAAAAAAAAGACCAGAAACCCAATCTTAAACAAGGGATAAACCTCTACCCCCGTTCAAAAAGGAGTGGGCGACAGGCAAATCTATCTACTCCTATTGCAAAATGAAACAGTGGTCCAAGTTTATTTTTCTTCTCCACTCGATTGACCCTCAGCCACCGCCTCCTAACACTTTTAAAATAACGAAGGGTTGGGTGTTAGTCGCATGTAATCCGTTTGTTGGACGTTAATTGTATAGGTGCTCGGTCATGACATGACCAGCTGACTGATCGGATCGGCCGCCTGTCTAGTCCAACTAGAGACCAACGAGGAGTGTTGCCTGTCACATGACATCTTGTTCATATCAATCTATCTATCTATCTATCTATCTATATCAGTCTATCTATCTATCTATCTATCTATATCAGTCTGTTCTATCTATCTATCTATCTATATATCTATCTCAGTCTGTTCGTATCTATCTATCTATCTATCTATCTCATCTGTTCTATCTATCTATCTAGTCTGTCTCATCTATTCATCTATCTATCTATCTATCTATCTATCTATCTCTGTCTGTTCGTATCTATCTATCTATCTACCTCAGTCTGTTCTATCTATCTATCTATCTATCTATCTATCTCAGTCTGTTCGTATCTATCTATCTATCTACCTCAGTCTGTTCGTATCTATCTATCTATCTATCTATCTATCTATCTCAGTCTGTTCGTATCTATCTATCTATCTTCAACACAACATATTGGCTCTCTACCTATGCCAGTCTCTTTCTAAGTATGTTCGCATCTATCTAGCTAGCTACCTATCAACACACACACACACACACACACACACACACACACACACACACACACACATATATATATATATATATACTAATCAGATAAGAAAAATGAAAGTGAAGACATATATAAATATTTACCTTGCCATGTTAGCATTAATAAAAAAAATATTTAAGTAAAAAACGAAATACATCTATATTTCTCAAACTCTAGAAAACCCCCAGAACATTCGAGAAATAAAAATAGCAGAGACTGTCTGTCAGTCTGTCACATCGAATCTAAGATGGCTACATTGATCTTTGACACGCAGAAAGAAAAAGGCATAAAAATCAATAGGGAGAGAGTATAAAGAGAGAAAATGAAACGATGAAAAGGAGAATTAACATTCTATGGCATGTACGCATACAGGGAGACAAACGTGTGCACACTAGAGCATACGCACACGCACGCACAGAAATGTACACATGCACACACACATACACACAAAGAAGAAAAAATCGATCTTACACGAACGAAAAGTGCATGAATTATTTTTTAACTTGATATAAAAATAACAAACAACGAGAATATAAGCAGTCAATTGCTGGTATCTCCTGACGAGTGAACGAGACAATTGCTGGAGGGTCCGTCTACGAAACTCTTGAGTCGAGATACTGAATATGACATCAATCAGCTAAGTGACAAATTTGATATTTGTATTAATCATCTATCTATCTATCTATCTATCTATCTATATATATATATATATATATATATATATATGTGTGTGTGTGTGTGTGTGTGTGTGTGTGTGTGTGTGTGTGTGTGTGTGTGTGTGTGTGTAAAAATATATAGAAAATAGGAAAGAACTCTTTAGGTAAATAATCCAAAGTTCTTTAGTATTTTTGTTATTATTTTTTAAAAATAGTGCTCGATACAAAAGTAGAGCATAAATATAATTATTTATTTAAAAATATGATTCCATCGCTACATAAGAGTTTTCGTGTTTCAAAAAATTGAATTAAAGTACCAAGCTCTGTTCCATCTTCAAGCGAATTTTTTTTTTGGAATTCAAAAAAAAAATTTCGCTTGAAGATGGAACAGAGCTTGGTACTTTAATTCAATTTAATTCAAATAATTGACATGAGAACTCTTATGTAGAGATGGAATCATATTTTTAAATAAATAATTATATATATATATATAGAGAGAGAGAGAGAGAGAGAGAGAGAGAGAGATGGCAGGTCTGTATCGAAAGTTGGTTACTACAGCCATTCTCTACCCACCCATAGCCATCTTATCTCTAGATCGTTGAATATTTAGAAAGTATGGATTCGGACAATCACTTACACATTTAAATCATAAAAATCACTCGCATACACACACCACGCAATTCCTTGAAAGAAGCCATTACCATCGCTTATACTGGAGAGTACTTCGAGCGACACAAAATTAACATTTTCTAATAAGAGTTGCTCTGTCGCGCAGTAAAAGCAAAACAATATGGCTGTCGATTAAAAAAAAAGGCCTTTATACATTGTCCTTTAATTGCCGGTAAATTTGCGCCGATTGGTTTGTTTTTATAGCCCGTCACTAACTGAGGATAAGAACAGTGCAGTTAAAAGCTAATAGATTAATTTGTGAGAGGCGAATTTGTTGGGGCTGGCGACATGATTGCGTGTAACTCGAGAGTACGTAAATATCGACAGCTTCGCCATTTTGCAAATCGTTTCGATGTGAATTTTCAATTGTGCAAGTTTCATTGGAGATATGAGTAAATCGGCTGCTAGCATAAAAGCAAACGTAATTCATTCTTTAAGATAACAGGTCACTAATAGTCCTGGAAATGAGGATAAACAACATACTGCAGCAAGGTCGCTGATCGGAAGATTGGAGGATTTTAGGAGTGTAGAAACACCTTTTAATTGCTGTTGTCCCCAGGTCGATCCTGACCCGGGGTGGTAGCACTTGATAAGGTCCCAGCTATTGTCAAATAGTGAACTCCCAAGTAAGAACAAAATACTATGAAAATATATTTTATTGTTTTACATTATTTATATAGACACAAATATTTAAGTAAATTCTCTGTTTTATAACAAGCAGTATTAACAGCATTTACTAGCCTGAACGTCCGAGAAATTTCATAGAAAATATGTCCTCCGACAGGAATCGAAACTGTATCCTACACGAGACCGTCGTATAGCCTGACGTGCTATACCAGCTTAACTACGAAGGAGCGTCTGGTTAGCAAGGTCGATTTTACTGCTTTTAAACTACAAACTTCTCATAATTTCCCTTGAACGTCCATGTAGGAGGACGCATATTTTCTATGAAAATTTCTTGTACGTTTAGGCTAGTAAATGTTGTTAATACTGTTTATTTTAAACAGAGCATTTACTTAAATATTTGTTTCTATATAAATAACGTATAACAATAAAATATATTAAAATAATTGTTGGACTTTGTCCATTTCGTACTATCAAAGTATAAAAATACATTTTTTATAGTAAAAATACCAGCAATACATTTTATATAAAAAAATCTTTTACCAACAATACGTACGGGAAATTACCAACAAGACATCAATCAACACGAAGGAAATTTTTCATGATATTAATCCATATAATATCCTACAATTTCTTAAATCAAACTGTATTTCAAAATATAACTTTAACGAAACTACAGCATAAAATCCACATATCACTGCCTCTAGTAATTATGTCACACAAACAGGCATATACCCCAAATCTGAGTATCATGTACCATGTGTTCAATTGTGAAATCACAATAACGTATATCATGTTTTATTGCTTCAAAGCTCTCAATAAAAGTAAATTTTGGCATTAAATGACCCATACACTGTTAAACCAATCAAATCAAATAGGTCACTAAACGTTCATATACATATAAATGTTTCTAGATTATATATTTTTATTACTTAAACATTATTTTTAATGGGTACTCGTACTTGAGTAGACGTTCCGTTTATTTATTAAACATTGAATTTATTTGTTTCTTTCAACTGGCCTGAATATTCGATAAATCTTATTAGAGAAATATATGCCTTTTCCGGCAGGATTTGAACCTGCGTATTAATAAATAAATAAATAAACTATCCCTTCCCTCACAAATTGCTTTATTTTAGGATACGCAACTGAGTCAGTGAAAAATCTGTGTTTAAAGGCACCATTCATCTTTGCTTGGTCATCGATGCAATCTGTAGATGTTAAAGCACGTCAGGTCTGATGACGGTTTCCCCTAGCGGAACGGAGGTTCAAATCTCGCGTGATATATATTGTTGTATCTCGTGCTTTCGAGATAACAAATGGAAATAAATAAGGAAGACAAATTTATAGGTAAGTATTATACCAGAACATTACCTATTCTATTGTAATAGACTCTCCCACAGATAATAAGTAGTAGTAGCAGTGGCCAGTTGAGCTCAGTGGAGTTGAGTGAGTCAGTCGATGTCGGACATTGAAGTATCAACCATCACAACTAGATTGCTGCGTCATTAACTCTTATTTCAAATTTCTAACGTTTTGTACGTCGGACCCTTTTAGGGCCGACTTAGCGAAATACAAGCCTCCACTGTGAAAACTACTCTACGACAGTAACTAATGAAATAAGTTTAGTACACGACGGTACACTTAGCAATTGACCTAGTGCTAACTCAGCGTTTACCCTAGCTCCCTACAGGGCGGTATGTGACACAATTTCAGTATAACTTGGGTCTTTTTCGAGCCCGTAGACCCAGACAAAAATTACCCGTAGAACCCGTAAGATATCCCCAGACGAGACTCTGACCTTCGGCATAGCCTCGTATTATATATATATATATATATATATATTGCTTCAGTTTTACTAGTGAATGATTTTTATGGTTGGCTTTTACCCCTTACCGGCCAATTTGATGATTTGTGTTTACATCTTTGTATTGTTTTATTCAAGAAAAGCAAAGGTCTTCTTGTATTCCTTCTTTGGAATTACTTTTCGTCTTTGGTGTGCTATCTGCTTTCGTCTTTGTTTGCTTTGTTTATAAAACGAACACTTTATGTTGCCTAGCCCGGAAAAATTTGGGCGAAGGCTCGCGTGGAACACACTCGAGACGAACGTGACCGGCTTTCCTAACCGTATATAGTTTTAAGGGTTTGACTCTTATAGATCTTTCAAATATACAAGCGACCAAACACACACACACACACACACAAGCGCGCGCACGCGTGCTCACACACAAACAAACAAATTTTAAATCTCACTTTTTATTGATATACGAGATGTGACGGTTTAATGTATGTAATGAATGTCCGCATGCCTCCAAGTGATTCAAAAAAGGAACGTTCCTTCGATACTAGATCGTTTAATAAGCATAATGGTATATCGCTATGTGGCGGGTGGTATAATGACCCGCAATTAGATATGGAATGATGGATAACAACAAACAAAACAAAGACTTGAGTAAAAAATATGTTGCCAAGTTTATTTTCCTTAAAGAAAGTAAATAGACAAAAATAAGGTTACAGTTAACTGGGTAAAAATAACTCTGCGTATACAGAACGAGAAAGACTGAAAAGGACAGTTTTGTATCCGTTGAGAACAGTTGTGCTGAAAAGGACAGTTTTGTACCAGTTGAGAACAGTTGTCCTGAAAAGGACAGTTTTGTATGCGTTGAGAACAGTTGTCCTGAAAAGGACAGTTTTGTATGCGTTGAGAACAGTTGTCCTGAAAAGGACAGTCTTGTATGCGTTGAGAACAGTTGTCCTGAAAAGGAGAGTTTTGTATCCATTGAGAACAGTTGTCCTGAAAAGGACAGTTTTGTATCAGTTGAGAACAGTTGTCCTGAAAAGAGAGTTTTGTATCAGTTGAGAACAGTTGTCCTGAAATGGACAGTCTTGCATGCGTCGAGAACAGTTGTCCTGAAAAGGACAGTTTTGTATCCGTTAAAAAAAACAGTTGTCCTGAATAAGGACAGTTTTGTATCAGTTGAGTACAGTTGTTTTGAAAAGGACAGTTTTGTATCCGTTGAGAACAGTTCTCCTGAAAAGGACATTTTGTATCAGTTGAGAACAGTTGTTTTGAAAAGGACAGTTTTGTATCCATTGAGAACAGTTGTCCTGAAAAGGACAGTTTTGTACCCGTTGAGAACAGTTGTCCTAAAAATGACAGTTTTGTATCTGTTGATAACTGTTGTCCTGAATAAGGAGAGTTTTGTATCCGTTGAGAACAGTTGTCTTAAAAAGGTCAATTTTGTATCAGTTGAGAGCAGTTGTCCAGAATAAGGACAGTTTTGTATCAGTTGAGATCAGTTGTCCTGAATAACGGAAGTTTTGTGTCCGCTGAGAACAGTTGTACTAAAAAGGACAGTTATGTATCAGTTGAGAACAGTTGTCCTAAAATGGACAGTTTTGTATCAGTTGAGAACAGTTGTCCTGAAAAGGACAGTTTTGTATCGGTTGAGAACAGTTGTCCTGAATAAAGACAGTTTTGTATCCGTTGAGAACAGTTGTGCTAAAAGGACAGTTTCGTATCCGTTGAGAACAATTGTCCTGAAAAGGACAGTTTTGTATCCGCTGAGAACAGTTGTACTAAAAAGGACAGTTTTTATCGGTTGAGAACAGTTGTCCAGAATAAGGACATCCGTTTTGTCCTAAAATCAGTTGAGTTGAGAACAGTTGTCCTAAAATGGACAGTTTTGTATCAGTTGAGAACAGTTGTCCTAAAAAGGACAGTTTTGTATCGGTTGAGAACAGTTGTCCTGAATAAAGACAGTTTTGTATCCGTTGAGAACAGTTGTGCTAAAAAGGACAGTTTCGTATCCGTTGAGAACAATTGTCCTGAAAAGGACAGTTTTGTATCCGCTGAGAACAGTTGTACTAAAAAGGACAGTTTTTTATCGGTTGAGAACAGTTGTCCAGAATAAGGACAGTTTTGTATCCGTTGAGAACAGTTGTCCTCAAACGGACAGTTTTGCATCAGTTGAGAACAGTTGTCCTAAAAAGGACAGTTTTGTATCGGTTGAGAACAGTTGTCCTGAATAAGGACAGTTTTGTATCCGTTGAGAACAGTTGTCCTCAAACGGACAGTTTTGTATCAGTTGAGAGGAGTTGTCCTGAATAAAGACAGTTTTGTATCCGTTGATAAATGTTGTCCTGAAAAGGACAGTTTTGTATCCGCTGAGAACAGTTGTACTAAAAAGGACAGTTTTGTATCCGTTGAGAACAGTTGTACTATAAAGGACAGTTTTGTATCAGTTGAGAACAGTTGTCCTGAAATGGACAGTCTTGCATGCGTCGAGAACAGTTGTCCTGAAAAGGACAGTTTTGTATCCGGTAAAAAAAACAGTTGTCCTGAATAAGGACAGTTTTGTATCAGTTGAGAACAGTTGTTTTGAAAAGGACAGTTTTGTATCCGTTGAGAACAGTTGTCCTGAAAAGGACAGTTTTGTATCCATTGAGAACAGTTGTCTTGAAAAGGACAGTTTTTTATCCGTTGAGAACAGTTGTCCTAAAAAGGACAGTTTTGTATCTGTTGATAACTGTGTCCTGAATAAGGAGAGTTTTGTATCCGTTGAGAACAGTTGTCTTAAAAAGGTCAATTTTGTATCAGTTGAGAGCAGTTGTCCAGAATAAGGACAGTTTTGTATCCGTTGAGAACTGCTTTCCTGAATAACGGAAGTTTTGTGTCCGCTGAGAACAGTTCTACTAAAAAGGACAGTTACGTATCAGTTGAGAACAGTTGTCCTAAAAAGGACAGTTTTGTATCAGTTGAGAACAGTTGTCCTGAAATGGACAGTTTTGTATTCGTTGAGAACAGTTGTCCTGAAAAGAACAATTTTGTAGCCGTAGAGAACAGTTGTCCTAAAAAGAACAGTTTTGTATTCGTTGATAACTGTTGTCCTGAAAAGGACAGTTTTGTATCAGTTGAGAACAGTTGTCCTAAAAAGGACAGTTTTGTATCGGTTGAGAGCAGTTGTCCTGAATAAAGACTGTTTTGTATCTAAAAAGGACAGTTTGTATAACTGTTCTCCTGAAAAGGACAGTTTTGTATCAGTTATCCAGTTGAGGACACAGTTGTACTAAAAAGCACAGTTCTGTATCAGTTGAGAACAGTTGTCCTGAAAAGGACAGTTTTGTATCAGTTGAGAACAGTTGTCCTAAAAAGGACAGTTTTGTATCGGTTGAGAACAGTTGTCCACAAACGGACAGTTTTGTATCAGTTGATAACAGTTGTCCTAAAATGGACAGTTTTGTATCCGCTGAGAACAGTTGTACTAAAAAGGACAGTTTTTTATCGGTTGAGAGCAGTTGTAATGAATAAGGACAGTTTTGTATCAGTTGATATCTGTTGTCCTGAAAAGGACAGTTTTGTATCCGCTGAGAACAGTTGTACTAAAAAGGACAGTTATGTATCAGTTGAGAACAGTTCTCCTAAGAAAGGACAGTTTTGCATCAGTTGAGAACCGTTGTCCTAAAAAGGACAGTTTTGTTTTGTATCCGTTGAGAACAGTTGTCCTGAAAAGGACGTTTTTTTATTGGTTGAGAACAGTTTTGTCCAGAAGTTGTCCTGAAAGGGACAGTTTTGTATCCATTGAGAACAGTTGTCTTAAAAAGTTGTCCTGAAAAGGACAGTTTTGTATCAGTTGATAACAGTTGTCCTAAAAAGGACAGTTTTGTATCGGTTGAGAACAGTTGTCCTGAATAAAGACAGTTTTGTATCCGTTGAGAACAGTTGTGCTAAAAAGGACAGTTTCGTATCCGTTGAGAACAATTGTCCTGAAAAGGACAGTTTTGTATCCGTTGAGAACAGTTGTCCTGAAAAGGATAGTTTTGTATTCGTTGGGAACAGTTCTCCTGAAAAGGACAGTTTTGTATTAGTTGAGAACAGTTGTTCTGAAAAGGACAGTTTTGTATCCATTGAGAACAGTTGTCCTGAAAAGGACAGTTTTGTATCCGTTGAGAACAGTTGTCTTAAAAAGATCAATTTTGTATCCGTTGAGAGCAGTTGTCCTGAATAAGGACAGTTTTGTATCAGTTGATAACAGTTGTCCTAAAAACGACAGTTTTGTATAAGTTGAGAACAGTTTTCCTGAAAAGGACAGTTTTGTATCTTTTGAGAGCAGTTGTCCTGAATAAAGACAGTTTTGAATCAGTTGAGAACAGTTGTCCTAAAAAGGACAGTTTTGTATCCGTTGGTAACTGATGTCCTGAATAAGGACAGATTTGTATCGATTTTTTGAGGCCTTTTTCATATTCTGAATCACTTTTACAACAATCACTGTTCCTGCTTGGTGAACTTTCTTTTTCCGATTGTTATTTTTTTTAATTATGGAAATGCCGACAAGTATTGACAGCTACAAACAGGTTCATTCCGGTAAATAAATAGATACACCTTGGAAATGAATGCATTAATGATATTATAAATACACACAAAGGATTCGTATCAGACGAAGTTGTTTAATATTTATTGTAATCTGTTTTGGTGATATTAAATTATTTGAATCAGGTATACATTAATTCACTCAATTTCGAAAAAATCAATACCTTGATAATTCCATTGTTCTTGGGCGGCATTCCCCAAACGTTTTCCCGTCATGTTCTACCTGTTATATTCGACTGTTTCAAACTCTACTCTGTTTATGGCTAGCCAATTTTTATGTATTAACAGTTCTGATGAATCATTCAATAATTTATTCCCATTCACTGTTTACGACCTTCAGCCAATGTTCCTCTACCTGTTCAATGCCTCTAGGACAGAAATCACTAGGTTTTGACTGAAAAAAATACATCAAGCCCCGTTTTAAGCTCCACATCGTTATTGAACGAAACACCCCTCAAATTCTTAGAAAACGGTCAAAAAAAAGTAGTAAGAAGCGGCTAAACCAGCAGAATATGGTGGTTGGGGCATAACTTCGCAACCGAGTTCTTTAATTGCATGTTTGTTAATATTAGCGACGTGGGGACGAGGTTGATGTTGAATAATCACACTGTGTCACCTGTGTTTCAGGTGAAGTGTCTCTTTGAGCCTGCTCTTTTGTTCAACATACAGCTTAGGATTAACCATTTGGTTGTTCTGGACCCATTGAGTGAAAATGACGAGCGACAGTAACACGAGAGCTTGCCATCTTCTGAGCCAATGCCCTAG